TGGTTCTCATGGTTCAGGTGGTTCTTATGGTTCCGGTGGTTCTCATGGTTCCGGTGGTTCTCATGGTTCAGGTTGTTCTCATGGTTCAGGTGGTTCTCATGGTTCCGGTGGTTGTCATGGTTCTGGTGGTTCTCATGGTTCCGGTGGTTCTCATGGTTCCGGTGGTTCTCATGGTTCTGGTGGTTCTCATGGTTCCGGTGGTTCTCATGGTTCTAGTGGTTCTCATGGTTCAGGTGGTTCTCATGGTTCAGGTGGTTCTCATGGTTCCGGTGGTTCTCATGGTTCTGGTGGTTTCATGGTTCAGGTGGTTGTCATGGTTCCGGTGGTTGTCATGGTTCCGGTGGTTCTCATGGTTCCGGTGGTTCTCATGGTTCCGGTGGTTCTCATGGTTCCGGTGGTTCTCATGGTTCAGGTGGTTCTCATGGTTCCGGTGGTTGTCATGGTTCTGGTGGTTCTCATGGTTCAGGTGGTTCTCATGGTTCCGGTGGTTCTCATGGTTCCGGTGGTTGTCATGGTTCTGGTGGTTCTCATGGTTCCGGTGGTTCTCATGGTTCCGGTGGTTCTCATGGTTCTAGTGGTTCTCATGGTTCTAGTGGTTCTCATGGTTCAGGTGGTTGTCATGGTTCCGGTGGTTCTCATGGTTCCGGTGGTTCTCATGGTTCCGGTGGTTCTCATGGTTCCGGTGGTTCTCATGGTCCTGGTGGTTCTCATGGTTCCGGTGGTTCTCATGGTTCAGGTGGTTCTCATGGTTCCGGTGGTTCTCATGGTTCCGGTGGTTCTCATGGTTCTGGTGGTTCTCATGGTTCCGGTGGTTGTCATGGTTCTGGTGGTTTTCATGGTTCCGGTGGTTCTCATGGTTCAGGTGGTTCTCATGGTTCCGGTGGTTCTCATGGTTCTGGTGGTTCTCATGGTTCAGGTGGTTCTCATGGTTCTGGTGGTTCTCATGGTTCAGGTGGTTGTCATGGTTCCGGTGGTTCTCATGGTTCCGGTGGTTCTCATGGTTCCGGTGGTTCTCATGGTTCCGGTGGTTCTCATGGTTCTGGTGGTTCTCATGGTTCAGGTGGTTCTCATGGTTCCGGTGGTTCTCATGGTTCCGGTGGTTCTCATGGTTCTGGTGGTTCTCATGGTTCAGGTGGTTGTCATGGTTCCGGTGGTTCTCATGGTTCCGGTGGTTCTCATGGTTCCGGTGGTTCTCATGGTTCTGGTGGTTCTCATGGTTCCGGTGGTTCTCATGGTTCCGGTGGTTCTCATGGTTCCGGTGGTTCTCATGGTTCCGGTGGTTGTCATGGTTCCGGTGGTTCTCATGGTTCTGGTGGTTCTCATGGTTCCGGTGGTTCTCATGGTTCCGGTGGTTCTCATGGTTCTGGTGGTTCTCATGGTTCAGGTGGTTGTCATGGTTCCGGTGGTTCTCATGGTTCCGGTGGTTCTCATGGTTCCGGTGGTTCTCATGGTTCTGGTGGTTCTCATGGTTCCGGTGGTTCATGGTTCCGGTGGTTCTCATGGTTCAGGTGGTTCTCATGGTTCCGGTGGTTCTCATGGTTCCGGTGGTTGTCATGGTTCTGGTGGTTCTCATGGTTCTGGTGGTTCTCATGGTTCAGGTGGTTCTCATGGTTCAGGTGGTTCTCATGGTTCCGGTGGTTCTCATGGTTCTCATGGTTCCGGTGGTTCTCATGGTTCCGGTGGTTCTCATGGTTCAGGTGGTTCTCATGGTTCCGGTGGTTCTCATGGTTCCGGTGGTTGTCATGGTTCTGGTGGTTCTCATGGTTCTGGTGGTTCTCATGGTTCAGGTGGTTCTCATGGTTCAGGTGGTTCTCATGGTTTCACGCTGCCTGTTGCTGGGAGTCTGATGTGTTTATAGAAAGAGTCTCATGTTATGAACAGATAGAATATAGAATGAAATGTTTCCAGACGGTTTCTGTTTCACACTAAAACAGAAAATCTTTGACAGAATCTATTTTTTCCTCAGTCGTCCTGAACGGCTTTCAGTTTTCCTTTGTAAGCTCTTTGTCTTCTGTTCCAAACACGTCTTACATTAAAAACTGCATTAATGGCCAGATGTGTTTCACAGCTGTTGGTTTCCCAGTAAAAACCTCCAGGCTCTGAAAACGGGGGATTCCCATAAAAGAGCTGCTGCAATAAGAACCGAACCGGAACCAGAGCAGAACAGGAGGAGTCGGATCAGGTCAGTAAAGATTCGCTCTGGTTGTGACATTTCAGAGTCACATCCTGAGGATTAAAGCTCCTCACAGTGAGAGCATTTAAACTGTTTATTCCACAAGCTCTCTACATTTATCTTTGTTTTTGGATATATTCACGCTTGCACTATAAAAAAATATATGAATGTTCAAACTTTTTCAGTGGACATAAGGAGAACGAGACTTCCTGTTTCCTCACTTCCTCTGTCAGTCGGTTCAGATCTGTTTGAGAATCTTATGGACTTTGAAAACCTTTAAATCCCACAACCAGCAGTTGCTTCATTCTAGGGTAGGCTAAGCTAGGCTAGGCTAGGCTAACACTGCTGACCTCTCTCTTTTGTGGTGATAAATTTGTTTTAAAGTGAGGACAGCAGCAGTTTATTACAGGTTTATTAATGGTATTAACTAACTAGTAAAGGTCGTAACCACATTAATATTCCTGTCAGCATGATGTATTGGCTTGGATTAACTGATCATCAGTTTGCTAACCTGTAGAAACATCATTATCATACAGTTAGCTTCATGCGCAGTTAGCTTGGAGAGCCCGTTCTCCCTGAGGATTCTCTCTGGGTACTCCGGGTTCCTCAGTCCGTTGCGTTCAGTCATTTCCAGAGGACCTTTGGTATGAGTGCTTCCTGTGTGTCTCTGTATCTGTGCTGACGTTGTCCATACAGGTGTTTAAACTGGAATAACGAAAATAAATTTACTTAATGGAAAAAAAATCTAATTGGAAATAAACGTTAGATGAGGCGGCTTTCTTCTTTGTTTATCAAAATTAGGAAGTGAACACTTTTTTTCCGTCACACTAGTGCAACATCGTGTTGCAGTAGCATCAGGATGTTGCTACTGCTGGAAAACATGAAGAAGAGAGTGACAGGAAGTAGCTGGAGGATGATGGTGCCATGTTTTTAATTTCATCACATGAACAAAGTTATTCATATGTGATTTTAGAAGCTGCTGGGTGACATGTTGTTTCCATAACGACTCAACCGTCGTCATGGAAACATCAGGCTACATGTCACAGACAGAAATCATTAATAACCTGTTAGCTTGTTAGCTAACAGTAACCTGTTAGCTTGTTAGCTAACAGTAACCTGTTAGCTTGTTAGCTAACAGTAACCTGTTAGCTTGTTAGCTAACAGTAACCTGTTAGCTTGTTAGCTAACAGTAACCTGTTAGCTTGTTAGCTAACAGTAACCTGTTAGCTTGTTAGCTAGTAACCTGTTAGCTTGTTAGCTAACAGTAACCTGTTAGCTTGTTAGCTAACAGTAACCTGTTAGCTTGTTAGCTAACAGTAACCTGTTAGCTTGTTAGCTAACAGTAACCTGTTAGCTTAGACTTACTGTTAAAATAACTGGATTATTTCCAGACCAGAACCTCCAGCTGGTTCTGGTCTGGGACCGGGTTCTGATGTTCTGGTCTGGCACCAGTGGCCCGTTTTCAGCTTCCTTGCCTGATTCCTGGACCAGTTCTGGTTCTGGTCCGGTTCTGTCTGCAGCTCTATAGATCTGCGCAGATGGAAGTAATGAAGTGTGAAACGGCGCGGTTCTGTTTGGTGACGTAATCTACAGAAGCGTTTCTGTCCTGGTCACATGGCCGGAGCTCTGGGAAAACACGGAGCGGATCAGGTGGAACCGGAGCACCGCAGCAGTTTTTATCTGATGTGAGGTTTCTGGTGGTTTCATCGGCGTTTCCTCAGCTGCTCTGTTGGTCTCGGCCTGGAGTTTTAGGAGCCGAACCCAAATTACTTTCTTCTAAATGTGTTATGTGAAATAAAAAAACATTTTCATGTGTTTGTGTTCTGTGGACATATTAATTTAGAGATGATCAAACTTTTCTCTGCATTTGGGTTTTATGATCTGAACCAAAGTTCGGTCCTTCAGTGTTGACAGAAAATCAGTGTTTCCATGGCAACCACATGTCGGTGTGCGAAAGCCTCTCATTCAAACACGAACTCATCATTTCCAGAATCACGTCATCAACAGCTCAGGGGTCAAAGGTCATGGTCAGGCAGGTCCAGCTTAGGGCAGGTCGGCTTCATGAAGCCGTTCATAAGTGAACATGAACATTCAGATCAACAAAGAGCACGACCCCTGACCCATGACCTAATGGAACGTCCTGTTCATGACCTATTGACCCTATCAGTGACATGATGCCATTATCAGTGTTGCTCTCAACCTGGATGGACGTCAGAGACGGTTCTGAAGGTCCAGATATTGTGGGACCGGATCCTCCCAGAATCAACCGCGGTCCTCCGGGTCGGTCTGCAGCTAACCGCTAACAGTAGCTGCTGCATTGCTAACCAATCAGCAACTTTCTTGTTACATTTAGAAAAATTGCAGAGAAAATTATTGATATGGAGCAGAAATCTGCAATCGGTGCAGCTCCAGTTTTTATCCCATCAATATTTCAAAGGTTTCTTTCTGACTTTTGAAGCAAATTGTTAAATTTCTAGCAGAATCAGAACAGAAATCAGATCAAATGAATCCTCAGTTTGGAGTTACCCTGAGCGGTTCTGATGAAGCGGGCCCCATCCGGGCCCAGTCAGCAGCAGCCAATCAGCAGCCAGCTCTGCCTGCTTGGGTCCAGTCATGTGACCCAGAGTTTAAATCCAGACTGACGGCGCCGAGCCGACAGAAGCCTCCAGACGGCCGACCTCACCTGGCAACACTTCCTGTCCGAGACGCACCGCCTGACCTCCGCTGACCTCCGCCTGACCTCCGCTGACCTCTGCTGACCTCTGCTGACCTCTGCTGTCAACCTGTGATCGGAGCTGCAGGAAGAAGCCAGGTGAGTCTGTGATACAACGATCCTTCGTGTCTCCATGTCTCGTCCGTGTCGGTCGGTGGAGCAGCAGGTTTTCCATTAGTGAATCATGTGAGTCTCTGGGTTTCCTGCAGGATTTCGGCTCCATTAATCCTTTCATCAGTTAGAAACATGAAGCGTCTGGTTCATGTTTGAACTTTTCATGACTTTTTATGGAATAAATAATAAACTGTTTGCTCTGCTAACCAATCAGAAGCCAGGATGTTCCCACCTGTAAACACGCAGCAGCTCCACCTGAAATCAGATGAAGTTTCTGTGCCTAGCAGGAATATTATGGGATGTCTGCTGATTTCTGCCTGCTGAGGAAGAGGAGGAGAGCCTTCATCCTGCCAGATTAGGAAACCACGTGAGTCTGTTTCCCTCTGAGGCCAAAATAACCCAGATTTGATTAAAGTCCTGCAAACGGGACATGGAGACGCCACAGGGAAGTAAGTACACCCGTCCACCAGGCGGCGCTAAATCTCTCAGTGACTATAAAACGGATCTGATGCATCCTGCAGGAGCAGAGCGTGAAAAAGTAAGTACACCCTCCAGCAGCAGGTGCAGGAGCGCTGATCCATTCAGGTTATGCTCAGACTACCGGTCAGGCAGAGGCCTGGACTTTGACTAGGCCATTGCAGCACCTTGAATCTCTTTGTTTCTGTCGTTCAAATCTGCTGCTGTTTGGACCCAGATCTCAAACCATCACACCTCCACTGCTGTGCTTCACAGCAGGTCTGCTGCATCTTGATTCCTCCATCTTGGTTTCCTCCATCTTGATTCCTCCATCTTGGTTTCCTCCATCTTGATTCCTCCATCTTGGTTTCCTCCATCTTGATTCCTCCATCTTGGTTTCCTCCAATCTCAGTTTTCTTCACTAAACCTCAGAGAAACATTTTCGGCCTTCTGTCGTTTGTCAGGTGTCATCCGTCGGCCATCTTTGTTCTCTGCCGCCATGCCGACCACTGCTGTGGGCAGGAAATTGGATTTGTCCAAACTGACGGACGAAGAGGCCAGACATGTGTGGGACGTCGTCCAGAGAGACTTTGACCTGCGGAGGAAGGAAGAGGACCGACTCGGGTAAGTTCAGAAATGAATTAATTAGTGATCAGTGGTGAGAACCACTAGCTCAAGAGCTAGCTGCGCTAATGCTGAAGCACTAAGTGTTATGACAACATGGTATTTAGCTGAAGCTCACGCTAAAGCGCTAAATTCTTCCATAATGAATTAAAGTTAACATAAATATAAACATCTGAATAATAAAAAAAATTCTTCAGTCAATAATCAAAACTTCAACTCAAACTTTATTCAACTAAACAGCCAAGAAAAGTGCTGCAGAAATGTACTTCAGTTGAAGCTAAATGTGTTCAGAGTTACCAAAACCGCTAACTATAAAATTAGCTGTGCTGTCAGTGGGTTAGTGGACGTGTTTCCATTAGTGCTAATTATTTTAGTTGAATTAGTTATTTAGTTTTCAGCAGCTGTTGATAGAAATACACGAGTCGATTAGCATCACATTATTTATCCGGTCAGCTAGAAGTTCAACTCTTTGAGGAGAACACGACTTCTCTGACTGCGTCGTGTCAAGTGGGAAGTTTGGTGGAAGGAGGATCTTGGGGCTCAGCTGTTGTTCAGGAGTTCAGCCTTTTACCAACCCAAGACATGTTGGGAGGGTAAAAGGCGACGGCTCATTTCCTGTTCCAACATGTGTGAATATGTTTAGAATGAAACCTGAAGCCTTCCTGTCCAACATCAGTGTCTGACCTCATTAATATGAATGAGGAAGAATGAACAAAAATCCCCCTGATCAAACTCCTGACTGTCTGGAAAACCTTCATAGCAGAGCTGATGATATTAAACCTTAACAATTAATAAATAGCCAGACGACTGAGGGCTTCACTAATGTTATCATCTTAGCTTCTGTGACCTCTGACCTCTGGCCACTTGAACCGTTCTGGATCCAGGATTCACCTCCTAAAATAGACAGAGGCAAGGCCAGCAGAGGGGCGGGGCCAACACTGTCGGCCATTTTGTTAGCATTCCTGGCTAGCTCTCTGCTGCAGTTACTTGCTTCCATCTGAATGTTTGTTCCTGTGAAGCTGCTGCTGTTTCTTCCTCTGCGGTTCTGAACTGGTTCTGCTCTTCATGTGGTTTTCACATAAAACTGTCCAAACCTCTGCAATGGAACCCAAATATGTTGGTTCACAGTTTGCAAAAAAGCAGCAGGAGGCAAAACATTTTCTCTGTTTTCTGCTCGGCCCACAGAGTTCATGTTATGAATACATTTATTCACTTTTGTTGAAAGAATCAAAAACAAGCATCAGGTTCAGTTTATTATTCGCTAAAAGGAAAAACTGAAATAAATCTAAACCCTGACTCTATCAGACTGAAACAAAACTGAGCCTTAAGGAGGAATTATTAGAGATAAATCCTGTTAGAGTTTAATAACATTTAACATTCAGCATCATGATGAAGGTTTTATAATATTAATGCTGATGACCACATGATTCCACCTGAGACCAATAAACTCCTGAACTGAAGGGTGTACTTACGTCTGTCCTGACTTCATGCTCACAGAAAATGTTTCTTATTTTAATAATCTGTGGCCTTAAAGGCTCATAAAACATGTAGATCTTCAGAACTGGTTCCTGGTTTCATATCCATAATTTCCTCCCGGCGTTAGAACTTTATTCATTCACTTTCATAAAACAGAAACGGCTTCGCCATAAAAATGGTCAAGAACTATTTTTATGGTGTTTGTCATAAAAATATAACAAACCGATTACACTGCTGCAGCTTTGTTCTTTTAAGAAGAACACTAAACTTTGCATGAAGTAAAAGGCGTCTCAGTTTGTCGGACGGTGGAGAATATTCCTGTTTTTCTGGAAGAAACCATCAAATCTGCCGTGATGCTGATAACAGCAGCAGCTGCAGAAAGCAGCACTTTCTGAGAGCCTGGATTTGTTTGGAAGTTGGAAACGTAAAAGCGTCAGTCAGGCAGAATAAAGAAACGTCTGGCTGCTGACCCCAGATTCCTCAGGTCTGCTGTGAAACTCTGCAGTTAATCACAACCAGCAGAAACCTGGAGCAGGTTCAACCGTCTGAGAGCAGAAACTAGTTTCACCAAAGAAAACTAGAGATGTCACTTTTTGGTCCAATTTATCATTGTGAAAAAGCCTTTGACATGTTACCAGCCCAACTGTTTTCCTGTCCAGTTCTGGTTTTAATCTACAGCAGAAATTCTGCCGTTTTTAGCTTTTTATATTTGTAAAGTCACATTTTCAAACTAAATACTTTAAAGTTAAATATTGAGTGAACATCTAACTTCAAGCTCAATGTTTAGCTCAGAGCTACATATGTAGCTCAGAGTTAGCGTAGCCAGCTGTGTATTAGCGGTGGCTAACCCATCTGAGTGCTAACTGGAGTTTGGCTTCGCTGTTTCCACTCAGTGAGTTTATTCCCTGTGAAATGAAGAGCAGATCATCGAAGAGCCGTTTTGTCCCGACATCCAGAACTGAAACCAGGTTCAACCTGAACTCTTCCTGGTGGCTTCGCTGCTTTCTGCTCTCAGACCGTGGAAGGGAATCCTGCGCTCCAGATTTATGGGATTTGCAGTTTAATAGTACTGAGAATTTTCAGCTAATTTTACTTTGAAATCATTCAGAGTTTAAACCAAAGCAGTTGTGTGCGATGGGTTGAGGAATCCTGAACCATGTCCCACTGAGCTAGTGATATGGGCCATAATTCAACCAGTATGGTCCAAACAAAAGCCTTCAATAAGCAATAAAACTCCCCTAGTCCTTTAGGAATAGTTTCTTATTTCTGTTTTTCAGCTGGGACATTTGGGGCTTGTTATCTGAATAGTTTCCCCTCTGCTGCAGCCAGCGTCTCTCTGAGGTGGGCTTTAACCTCTCCACCAATCAGACGCTTTATTTTCAGTTCTGCAGCAGAAAACATTCGGCTGGAGGCGGTGAAATTATCCCAACACCAGAGCGGCTGCAGGACGGTGCACAGAAAGGCACTTTTCTCTGCACATTTCTCAGCTTCGCTTCAGGACTTTTTCTGCTCTGCAGTTTCTCTGTAAACTTGATTGATTGTGTGAAGGAGTGAAAACAGCATAATCCCACTTCTTCCCAGAAAAAGTCTTCTTCTGTCTTTCATCAACTCTTATTTGTTAGAAAAACAAGTCAAAGGAAAGTCTGCGCGCTGCAGTTGTCCAGTTTGTTTATTTAGCTGCGATCAGCGGCTTGGAAACTCACTTTGACTTCATGTCTGCAGTTTGGAAGAGTTACTGCTTCAGCAGTTTGGGGGAAGTGTTGTGGATGAGTTGTGCTGGACACTGTTAGCGTAGCTTAGCATCGTGCTAGACTCAGCCCAGTGGAATAAACTCACAGAGATGAAGCTACTTTTCACACTGAGGTTTTATGAGGTCTCAGTATCTGACCTGCAGCAGGGAGATCGGCCTCAAGGGACAGAATCACAGATCCAAGCTAAACACCGCACAAAGCAGAGGCAATTTAAGAGAGTTAAGTCATTCATACCAACTACAATTTTAAGAAAAATCTATTGTTAGTTTTTTTAGAGTTTGTTTTATTGTTTACATGAAGTATTTCAGAGGAAAACTGAATTATTTAGAAAAGAGTCAGATTATGCTTGAGGCTCTGCAGGATGGCTGTTGTCCAAACTGTGGTTTAGATACTGTCTGCTCATGACTAATCCAGACAACCCAACTAAAGCAAACTGTGCTTGAAGCATCAGGTGTTGAGTTTTTGACTGAAAACATGGAGACATCAGGATTTGTTGCTGAAGGTTCTGTTCGGTCCGGTTGTTTTCCAGCGAGCTGAAGAGTAAAATAGAGAAAGAAGACAGCAAGCGGGAGCTGCTGGGGGTCCGGAGCAGCTTGGCCGAGTCCTACTGCATCCGCTGCCTTCAGCCCTTCAGGTTCCTGCTCAACATCAGGCGCCAGTGTTTGGACTGCCAGCTTTACGTCTGTCGCTCCTGCAGCCGCTTCAGCAGGAGGGAGCAGGGCTGGCTGTGTGAGCCCTGCCACCTGGCCAGGTAAAGCCACCCGGTTCTGTCCCCTCAGGTCGTCACACACCAGGAAGAGCTCAAATGTTATTCTTGAACTTTCTGACTGATTTGTCAAAGTTTCTCAGTTGGACTCAGTGGAAGCAGAAATAACTGAGAACAAACTGAAGTTTTGTTTCAAGGCAGATTTCTGCAGTTCATATAACGTCCATGATTTACCTGGTTCCAGCTGTTCCAGCTGTTCCAGCTGTTCCAGCAGCTGTTCCTCATTATAGCATTATAATGTCTTATAATGCTGTAATGCATTATAAGACATTATAATGCATTATGAGCTATAAGCTCGTTACTATTAGCAATTAGTGTTGAATCTTGTTGGTGTTCTTGCTGATTTCTTGTTGTGGGCGGGGATTTACACAGGTGTGCGAAATCTGAAATCTGTTAATAAAAGGCCACAGGTTGCTCTGGTGAGCACCGCACAGCGCACCGCACCGCACAGCACACCGCACCGCACACCGCACCGCACAGCGCACCGCACAGCGCACCGCACAGCGCACCGCACAGCGCACCGCACAGCGCACCGCACCGCACAGCGCACCGCACTCAGGCCAAATGAAGCTGAAGGCTGTGTTGTTTTTCCTCCGTCACTACCCGGCATTTCCAGCCCTTTAAAGATGGCAGCGTCAACAATTAGCCTCTTTTCAACTTATGAACTCAAGCATACTAATGTCATCTAAATTAGCTTTTTCAGTTTAACTACCTATGAGTTAAACAGCTTAAGCTGGCGGAAGCTAAAGTCATCTAAGTGTTTGAGGTTAATTGTTGTTTTAAATATTCATATTTTAGAAAAACACTGGATGTTTAAGAATTCAAAAATAATGGTTATTATTTCTCTGTTATAGTTTGTGCAGAACGTTGAAGGATATAAGTGCCTGAATGTAATGAATTTCTTCTGGTTCCTGCTGACATCCAGCCGTTTTATTACGTTTCTGCGTCGTTGTCTTGATCTCTGCAGCTGTGTGAGCAGATCCTGGTTTTCCCAGGATTACCTAAACGCGAGTGAAGCTCATGATTGACATCCTGGCTCTGCGTTTGAACAGGGACTCCTTATGTAACGCCTGCAGCTCACTGTGCTGCCATAAAAATGTAAACATCTAGCTCCTTCCAGCTCCATGTGCAAACCGTCATGCTATTGTTTTCTGAAATGTTGCATCAGCAGTTCATGGATCCACTTCTCCTCCAGAATCTTCCAGAAATGCTGGTTTGGTGTTTCTAATGCTGGTTTTTCTTGCAGGGTTCTGAAGATCGGTACTTTGGAGTGGTACCATGAGAACGTCCGGGCCCGATTCAAGCGCTTCGGCAGCGCCAAGGTGATGCGATGTCTGTTTAAGAGGCTGAGCGGGGAACACAGCCGCTCCCAGAGCGACCCCAAAGGTCAGAGCTCCACTAATCTGGTTTACAGGAAACTCAGCCAAAGATCAGCTTCAAACGTTTGTTCCAAAATCTGCATAAAGTGAGCGACACGTGACACCACTTGACTCTAAAAACACTTAGCTAGAAGATTAGGCCCTCACTGATTAACTGAAACTGCTCAGTGGCTAAACAGTGTGGCTGCTGAATGGCTGCCAGGTCCAAGATGGCTGCATGAGGAGGGAAATGAACTAAACTAAAAACCACAAGAGCATTAGGACGGCCTTCAGTGGAAATGTGAACGAATTACCATCTGTTTCACTTCTCCTCCTGGAAGCCCTGAGGAGTCGCTGCTGGTCAACAGTTCAATCTGCCGCAGCCAGAAAACTCGGACGTGGAGTCAGGGAAGTCTGTTTGAGCTTAGCAGGAGAAATCCCCAGAAAATGAACGACTTCGCTGAGAGTCAGCAGCTGCAAACTGTCAGGAAGGACAGAAAAAATGTGAAGCGAAGTCCTCTGAGCTCAGTCACTCACTGTTCATGTGTAAACGGCATTATCAGCGGTGGGAACATTTCTGCTAATCCGCTCATAGCGTAGCTAACTGTTCATTTAGCACTTTAGTATTTTGCTAACGTTGAAAATGTTTTGCACATTTAGCTTCCCCTAAACTCTAAATCACTCATTTCTTTGGCTGTTTTATAAACTATCAGATGAACAAAGTTTGGCATCCATGTTGGAGTTTTGGTTCTCAACTGTTCTCAGATGTCTCATTCATGCTCTTATTCTGAAGGGAGTGAAACTTATATCTGATTCTATTTTTTCTTCTAAGAAACTTTATTGAGCAAAAGGCAACGAACGAACAGCCAGGACTGATCGTTAAACATTTATGCAAATGTTAACATGAATTTCACACGTTAGCATTAGCTTCTATTAAATACATTAAATGTTGGTGTAGCGCTTTAGCATTAGCTTAGCTAATGTTTCATTAGCGATGCAAACCACTGTGGATTATTGTCAGGATTTCAAAGACGTTTTACTTTTATTTTGAGTATAAATGTTAATGAACTCAAGCTGACAAACTTTCAGCTGCTAAACAGTATTTTCACCCCTAAAAGTTTTGTTCTCTTTTTACTTCTTGTCAATTTAAATGTTTCGGTGCATCAATTATGTTAAAGACTCTGTGCTTATCAGCTGCTGCAGGTGCAGCAAGCAGTTATTAGATTTATGGAGCATTATTTTTCCCATTTAACTTGGTTGGTTTGGATATTTTTCACAGATCTGTATTTCTTTAGCAAGAACAAAAAATAAAATACTGTAATTTTTAGGCTGAATTATGGTTATTTTGTTTTTATCAAATATTTGGAACATGGAAGGATAAATGCATCGTTTCATGCGATCAAACCTCCTTCATTCAAACTGGGAGAAATTATTTTCACACAACAGATTTTATTACTTTAGAAATGAGTCAGTCTGTAATTAAACTACTTTGCTTTTAGCTTCATCCTTTAATTTGTCACACATCTGTTGGTTAAAACATTCAGTCTTCTAACAGTAAGTCAGCAGGAAAAGCCAGATGTGACACAGGGATTTAATCTCCATTTTTCCTGTTTTTCTCATCCGACTCACCACAGCTGCTCTTCAGCTCCACTCTCAGGATTTCTGCCCTCAGCAACCAGCTGCTTGCCTTTGAACTTCCTGTTTGCTCCTAAAAACCCCAGAATCAAAGATTTTACTGTGGCAAAAGACATGTTTGAAGTCCAAGACGAGGCTGTTTGTTGAACTTTGTTAAAGAGACTAAATCCTTGGAGGATTTTTTTCATCATCTTAAGAACATAAAACACAAAAGATGCACAAAAATCTTCATTTTATGTTAATATTGTAAAATAATGTTATAAATTGTTTTACGTTAAACTATGATATTGCTTGCTTCAAAGCTTGGAACTCTTAGCATAGCTTTAGCTATGGCTTGAAGCTAATTCTGCCAAGTTTTCTTATTTTCATAACCTTTTTGCCAGCTATAACAGAAAAACTAAATTACATTTGATTAAGGCCAGGTGAACTACTTCATCGTCTCACCTAGCTAATGCTAAAAGCAGACAGATGTTGTGGTTTAGCTCTTTGAGCTAAGACGAAGACTGTTAGCCCTTTAGCTGATCAACATGAATCAATCATTTCTCACATCTCTCTGTTTAGCTAAAGCATTTTTAACAATATGGACAGATATAAGTTTAATTATTTTCTTCACTTTGAACAGATGCGCTAAGATCTTTAGCGTAGCATAAGCAACTATGTCACCAAAGCTAATATCAGCTAGCCTATGTAGCTAAGCTATGTTATATCAGTAGCATTTATGCCTTTGTGGTGTTTATTAATTTTTTTTAGCAGAAAATTATTATAAATAGAGTAAATAAATAGAAAACTGTAAAGGTAATGAATGGTAGTTTTTATGATGTTTCAGAACAGATGCATTTTATTTGTATGGAGGTAATTTAATGCCAGAACTAGGAAATAAAAGGAGCTTCAGTGTCTTTTTATAGTGACAGATTTTCTCATTAAAATAAAATATGTTCATGTTTGAACAGAAAATGTGGTAACAGTAGAAGTAAAGTCTGTTTTTTAGGAGTGTTCATCTGAATGATGTGTTTTACATTTCATGAAGATGATAAACTTCATGAAACTGCGTTCAGAACATACTCGGCGGTTCTGTTGGATCTGGGTTTATTTCAGCTGAAAGCGTTTTGATGTGCAGCAGAGACTCCTGCTGACGCTGAGTCACCGGCTGGCTCTCTGCGCCGAGCTGCAGCAGCAGGCAGAGACGCTGGCGGCCTTCTGATCTTCCTCACATGTCTCTGATTTTTGTGCGGGGCTCAGCGGAGCAAAGAGGAGGAGGCGGAAAGTTCTCATGTTCTCTGAGGAATGCAGCGTTATGATGATTATTATGAAACCGTCATAAATGCTAACAGAACCGGACCAGATCCGCATCACATGCTGCGACTCATGTGACCATCTGGATTAAATTCAACATGCATGACTCCACACACACACACTCACACACACACACACACACACACACACACACACACACACACACACACACACACACACACACACAGACAGGGAGTGCTGCTCTGCGGTCCGCCGGGCCCTCAGAGCTCGGAGGGAGTCCTGCTGTTAGCATAGCCTGCTAACAGAGCTTCATTTAATCCCAGCTGTTTTCATCATGACTTCATGTAGAGATGACTCTTTAACCTGATGATCTGTCAGGATAATAAAACGTAATGTTGCTCTTTATTACTGCAGGAAATGTCAGATTAAAATGAATTTAAAATAATTCCTGCCTGTTCCTTCCTTGTTTCTTCCTGTTTCTTCCTGTTCCTTCCTTGTTTCTTCCTGTTCCTTCCTTGTTTTCCTTCCTTGTTTCTTCCTGTTCCTTCCTTGTTTCTTCCTGTTCCTTCCTTGTTTCTTCCTGTTCCTTCCTGTTCCTTCCTTGTTTCTTCCTGTTTCTTCCTGTTCCTTCCTTGTTTCTTCCTGTTTCTTCCTGTTCCTTCCTTGTTTCTTCCTGTTCCTTCCTTGTTTCTTCCTGTTCTTCCTTGTTTCTTCCTGTTCCTTCCTTGTTTCTTCCTGTTTCTTCCTGTTCCTTCCTTGTTTCTTCCTTTTCCTTCCTTGTTTCTTCCTGTTCCTTCCTTGTTTCTTCCTGTTTCTTCCTGTTCCTTCCTTGTTTCTTCCTGTTCCTTCCTTGTTTCTTCCTGTTTCTTCCTGTTCCTTCCTTGTTTCTTCCTGTTCCTTCCTTGTTTCTTCCTGTTTCTTCCTGTTCCTTCCTTGTTTCTTCCTGTTCCTTCCTTGTTTCTTCCTGTTCCTTCCTTGTTTCTTCCTGTTCCTTCCTTGTTTCTTCCTGTTCCTTCCTGTTCCTTCCTTGTTTCTTCCTGTTTCTTCCTGTTCCTTCCTTGTTTCTTCCTGTTCCTTCCTGTTTCTTCTTTGTTTCTTCCTGTTCCTTCCTTGTTTCTTCCTGTTCCTTCCTTGTTTCTTCCTGTTCCTTCCTTTTTTCTTTCCTGTTCCTTCCTTGTTTCTTCCTGTTCCTTCCTGTTCCTTCCTTGTTTCTTCCTGTTTCTTCCTGTTCCTTCCTTGTTTCTTCCTGTTTCTTCCTGTTCCTTCCTTGTTTCTTCCTGTTCCTTCCTTGTTTCTTCCTGTTTCTTCCTTGTTTCTTCCTGTTCCTTCCTTGTTTCTTCCTGTTTCTTCCTGTTCCTTCCTTGTTTCTTCCTGTTCCTTCTTGTTTCTTCCTGTTCCTTCCTTGTTTCTTCCTGTTTCTTCCTGTTCCTTCCTTGTTTCTTCCTGTTCCTTCCTTGTTTCTTCCTGTTTCTTCCTGTTCCTTCCTTGTTTCTTCCTGTTCCTTCCTTGTTTCTTCCTGTTTCTTCTTCCTGTTCCTTCCTTGTTTCTTCCTGTTCCTTCCTTGTTTCTTCCTGTTCCTTCCTTGTTTCTTCCTGTTTCTTCCTGTTCCTTCCTTGTTTCTTCCTGTTTCTTCCTGTTCCTTCCTTGTTTCTTCCTGTTCCTTCCTTGTTTCTTCTTTCCTTCCTTGTTTCTTCCTGTTTCTTCCTGTTCCTTCCTTGTTTCTTCCTGTTTCTTCCTGTTCCTTCCTGTTTCTTCCTGTTTCTTCTTCCTGTTTTTCTGTTCTTCCTGTTCTTCCTTTTTCTTCCTGTTCCTTCCTTGTTTCTTCTTCCTGTTCCTTCCTTGTTTCTTCCTGTTTCTTCCTGTTCCTTCCTTGTTTCTTCCTTTCCTTCCTGTTCCTTCCTTGTTTCTTCCCTGTTCCTTCCTTGTTTCTTCCTGTTTCTTCTTCCTGTTCCTTCCTTTTTTCTTCCTGTTCCTTCCTTGTTTCTTCCTGTTTCTTTCTTGTTCCTTCCTTGTTTCTTCCTGTTCCTTCCTTGTTTCTTCCTGTTTCTTCCTGTTCCTTCCTTGTTTCTTCCTGTTCCTTCTTTGTTTCTTCCTGTTTCTTCCTGTTCCTTCCTTGTTTCTTCCTGTTCCTTCCTTGTTTCTTCCTTCCTCTTCCTTGTTTCTTCCTGTTCCTTCCTTGTTTCTTCCTGTTCCTTCCTTGTTTCTTCCTGTTCCTTCCTTGTTTCTTCCTGTTTCTTCTATTCCTTCCTTTTTTCTTCCCTGTTCCTTCCTTGTTTCTTCCTGTTCCTTCCTTGTTCCTTCCTTGTTTCTTCCTGTTCCTTCCTTGTTTCTTCCTGTTTCTTCCTGTTCCTTCCTTGTTTCTTCTGTTTCTTCCTGTTCCTTCCTTGTTTCTTCCTGTTTCTTCCTGTTCCTTCCTTGTTTCTTCCTTGTTTCTTCCTGTTCCTTCCTTGTTTCTTCTTCTGTTTCTTCCTTGTTTCTTCCTGTTCCTTCCTTGTTTCTTCCTTCTGTTCCTTCCTTGTTTCTTCCTGTTCCTTCCTTGTTTCTTCCTGTTCCTTCCTTGTTTCTTCCTTGTTTCTTCCTGTTCCTTCCTTGTTTCTTCCTGTTTCTTCCTGTTCTTCCTTGTTTCTTCCTGTTCCTTCCTTGTTTCTTCCTGTTCTTCCTTGTTTCTTCCTGTTTCTTCCTGTTCCTTCCTTTTTCTTCCTGTTCCTTCCTTGTTTCTTCCTGTTCCTTCCTTGTTTCTTCCTGTTCCTTCCTTGTTTCTTCTTCCTGTTCCTTCCTTGTTTCTTCCTGTTCCTTCCTTGTTTCTTCCTGTTTCTTCCTGTTCCTTCCTTGTTTCTTCTGTTCCTTCCTTGTTTCTTCCTGTTCCTTCCTTGTTTCTTCCTGTTCTTCCTTGTTTCTTCCTGTTCCTTCCTTGTTTCTTCCTGTTCCTTCCTTGTTTCTTCCTGTTCCTTCCTTGTTTCTTCTGTTCCTTCCTTGTTTCTTCCTGTTCCTTCCTTGTTTTCTTCCTTTTTCTTCCTGTTCCTTCCTTGTTTCTTCCTGTTCCTTCCTTGTTTCTTCCTGTTCCTTCCTTGTTTCTTCCTGTTCCTTCCTGTTCCTGCTTCCAGAGCGTCCAGACTTTGACACCCGCAGTGAGCCGGAACGTCACAGTGAGTCCATGTTCTCCAGTCGTTTTATTAAAACTCATGTTTTCCAAGCAGGTAGGAATGATTTATGTCATAGAGTCTATATTTATCTGCCTGATTGCAGTTGGATTTTCTTTATGACACAATTCATTAAAGTCCATCAAACATTATGAAGCTGCAGAAAGTTGGAATAAATAATTTCTGTTTTTTAAACATCTGAACTTCAGATTTAATCTCCTGCAGAAACAGAGAAAATACACAGAAAGTTTTATTTTCTCATATTTTCCATCGTTAAGATGAGTTTTCCAGGCTGATCCAGTCCAACAGAACCAGGCCAGAGACGGGACATATTGATTTTATGTTCGAGCCGATCCTGTATCTGATTCTGGATCTTATTTCTTCTTTCGTTATCGTTTCTCTGCATGTTTTGCCGTCTCTGGTTCTGATGCAGCTGCAGAAAACAACGTCCAACTTTCCACACGTAACTCACAAGCATTTCATGAAACATAATCAGCAGATGTTAACCTGGGAGTAAATTTACTTTGAGCTATCTGATTAGCATCTCAAAAGCTAAAATAACACATGAACTCTGACCCCAGTTGAGCAGGAGGCTTCATGGATGCAGATGAGGATGGGATCTCAGACTCCAACGTCTCTCTGATCAAACGGTTAAAGAGGAGCAGCAAAAGCAAAAGAGGTGGATTAGCAGAGCTAGCTAACAGCTGATGAGGTCATCCAGGATCTTCTTGAGGAATATCTTCTCTGCTGTCTTCATAATGAACTGTTAGCATGTTAGCATGGACTGTTAAACAGTCTTCAGTCAGAGGCCTCTTTAGATTTGTTGAACACTGTCTGCTACTGGAGAATCTCCTCCATGTTTGGATGAAAAGACGAGGAGTCAATGTTTATTCAGCTGTTAGCAGTTAGCCGCAGCTATCAGTCGTTAGTTGTTAGCAGTTAGCTGTGTAGTGAAGTCCAGGCAAATGTTAAAGCGGTTCTGCTGCAGTCCAGTAGGTTGGGAACAGAACGGTTCTGATCAGTCGGTTCCCTCCGTCTGCCTCCATTTTGTTTCTCCAGTTTGAGCTCAGAGGAAAACATGCAGCTTCATGGAACCGATCAAACATGTTCAGCTTCATTACAAGGATTGATTGTGATCATAGAAACTGATTAAATGTTTGGTTCTTCCTGCTCCAGTAAACTATTTTGTTCTTGATATGTATGCAGATCTTTTTCTCTGTTATAACTTTTGCTTGTTCTCGTTTTTTAAAAATCTGAAATAAAGAAATAAAATGAATCTGAGGTTTTAATGTGAAGCTCAGAGCTGACAGGTTCAGTCTGCAGGAAATAGTGATGGTAGCTTCATGACTCCATGCTGTCTGTCTGCAGGTGGATACGAGGAACTCAGTCTGGAGGCAGCAGACTCTCCAAACTTGCAGGTCCAAACCGTTTCACCTCGATATTATTTCTGCTACTGAGGCATCAGGAGCTCAGTTTGGGCTCTAATGATAAGATGATGACACTTTATAATAGTAATAATGATTAATTATAGCCACAGCAACGTAAATCTGAATAAAACGCTTCAAACAGGATATTTTTCTGTTTCTCCATCCTGCATACTGATGATGATGATGATGAAAGTGATGATGATGATGAAGGTGATGATGATGGTGATGATAATGAAGGTGATGGTGATGGTGATGATGAAGGTGATGATGATGAAGGTGATGATGATGATTCTCTCTGAAGATGAAGAAGGCCAAACGGAGGCTGACTGTTGATCCCGTTGATTTCGTTCTCGGCTTCGATTACTCAGCAAACTCCAGACGTCAGGAGGATCAGGTAATGGATCAGACACCAGTACTCCCAGTACAGACACCAGTACTCCCAGTACAGACACCAGTACTCCCAGTACAGACACCAGTTTCTCCCAGTATAGTTTTACTTTAATCGATCTCTGATGTTTTCAATAAATTCTTGCTCTAAATAAAAACCTGAAATTTGTGATCATGTGAAAATTTTCTGGAGGAATGGCGGCCATTTTCTCCAGACTGTCTGTGTCCTTCCTGCCTGCAGGGCGCCGGCGTTCAGGACGCGATGGACCCGATGCTCGCTGAGGCCGACCTGCAGGACGTTTTCCACCAGAACCTCCTGCAGGACAACCAGAGTCTGGACCTGGAGATGCATAATCAGCACGGTGAGGTCCCAGTTTGGTCCAGTTTGGTCCAGTTTGGTCCCAGTTTGGTCCAGTTTGGTCCAGTTTGGTCCCATTTGGTCCAGTTTGGTCCAGTTTGGTCCCAGTTTGGTCCAGTTTGGTCCAGTTTGGTCCAGTTTGGTCCAGTTTGGTCCAGTTTGGTCCAGTTTGGTCCAGTTTGGTCCAGTTTGGTCCAGTTTGGTCCAGTTTGGTCCAGTTTGGTCCAGTTTGGTCCAGTTTGGTCCAGTTTGGTCCAGTTTGGTCCAGTTTGGTCCAGTTTGGTCCAGTTTGGTCCAGTTTGGTCCCAGTTTGGTCCAGTTTGGTCCCAGTTTGGTCCAGTTTGGTCCAGTTTGGTCCAGTTTGGTCCAGTTTGGTCCAGTTTGGTCCCAGTTTGGTCCAGTTTGGTCCAGTTTGGTCCCAGTTTGGTCCCAGTTTGGTCCTTTGGTCCCAGTTTGGTCCAGTTTGGTCCCAGTTTGGTCCAGTTTGGTCCAGTTTGGTCCCAGTTTGGTCCAGTTTGGTCCCAGTTTGGTCCAGTTTGGTCCAGTTTGGTCCCAGTTTGGTCCCAGTTGGTCCAGTTTGGTCCAGTTTGGTCCAGTTTGGTCCAGTTTGGTCCAGTTTGGCCCAGTTTGGTCCCAGTTTGGTCCAGTTTGGTCCAGTTTGGTCCCAGTTTGGTCCCAGTTTGGTCCAGTTTGGTCCCAGTTTGAGAGCAGAGATCCACTTCAGACTCCACATGCTCAGCCAGCAGGTCAGAGGTCATGATAGGGACTCCTCTGTGTGTCCAGATGAGATGGCGTACGCGGAGACCCGGACCGTCCCGTCCCGCTCCGTGTCCCGGCTCAGCTACTCGTCCTGCGGCAGCGGCAGCATCGGCCTGCGGGGCGGCAGCAGCTTCCTGCCCAGCCTGGACGACTCCGAGGACGACCTTTGCCCCCGGGTCCCGGTGTACCGGTCCCAACCGGACCCGGGCAGCCACACGTCTCAGGAGAGCCTGTGCTCAGCCGGCGCGGCGCCGCAGGTCCAGTAATCGTCCAGCAGATGGAGCCGATCGGTTAATAAATCCTGTTTGTTCCACAGAGCGACGACTCGCGTCGGCCTGCAGCGTCACAATCTGATTCACAAACTCTGAATTCTCCGTTTGTTCCGTTATTCCAGGAACCCGGACGATCCGGTGGGACAAACCGGAAGGTCGGCCTGTGAAACTGAAGGGATGATCAGACATGTTGATCTATTGTTAAAAGCTTAATCACAAATAAATCTGATCAGAGGAAACCAGAGCTAAACTTTTAAACCTCCAAGCTCATGTCTGCTTGAAGCTGTGGCCCGGTTGGGTGATCCAACAGGATCCAGAGCGGTTCTGGAGCAGAAAAAGCAGGAAAACATGAAGTTTCTGGATTGTTCTCCCCAAAGCTCACCTGGGTCAACATCTGTGGGTTTTCCTTAAATCTGCTAAAACAGAAACTGGATGAATTTCTTCATTTCTCAGTTTTTGCTTAATCACAAACTGTTAACAGATGGATTCTCATTAGAGTTCTGGTTCTGGTCGGAGGTGTCGGCGGCTCACTGAGCATCTGAAGGTGTTTGGATTCCTTGAAGACTTGCATCAGTGAACAGATTTCCCACATCGTCAACATGTTGGAGGCAGCTGCAGGATCGCATGCGGGCCAGAACCGTGACATCAGCGTCTCTCCGCAGCAACCCGACCCGTCAGCGCCGCTCATGAGAAACAGATCAACACCTGATGTCACGACAACCTCAGGGCTCATCCACACAGTGGACTAACCATGGGAACAGAGACACGCTCTGCACACCAGGTTCTGGAGTCAACAGCAGCCCTAAAGGTCACTTAAAGGTCACTTGAAGGTCACTTGAAGGTCACCGTCTCTGCTGATGTGTTTGGGTCTCTGACATCGTGGTGGCCCAAACCGGATGCTGGGAAGCCTCCAGACATGTGGCCGCCAGGCCTGCGGGGTTTCCCTCAGCCCACCTGCAGGGGCCGCCGGTGGAGACGTGATGTCAGCGTTCCAGTCCCGTTTGACGGGCCAGGAGTCAAGGAGGACGGAGTCAGCAGAGTTACGCTGTGAAACCACAAAAACCCAAACAAACGAGGGCGACGCTAAACCAGAATAACCATGACAACCAAACACCAGGAGGAGGCCGATGACGGAGCTGCTGACTCAGCAGGTCTCAACCAATCAGGAGAAACGAATTCCCAGCTGGACCAGGCGGTACCTTCATGGAGGCTCTAGGCTGGAGGACGGGTCCACTGTCAGGTCTGAGCTTTCTGGACCTGCAGGAATAATTGGGTATTTCCCACCTTGTGGTCCGGTAGACCCGGTTCTGATGGATCTCTCAGCGTAACTTCCTTCTTTACCAGGTGGAAACAAGATGGTGCTAGGCTAGCATGTTAGCTTTGGTTGTATTTACCCAGAATGCCCTGTGCTGTGGTCATACCAGAGTCAAATTCTGCTTCTCAGTATCTGATTCTAGGTCTGGTTCTGATTCTAGGTCTGGTTCTGATTCTGGGTCTGATTCTAGGTCTGGTTCTGATTCTTCTGATTCTAGGTCTGGTTCTGATTCTGGGTCTGATTCTAGGTCTGGTTCTGATTCTAGGTCTGGTTCTGATTCTGGGTCTGGTTCTGGTTCTGGTTCTGGTTCTGGGTCTGGTTCTGGTTCTGGGTCTGGTTCTGGTTCTGGTTCTGGGTCTGGTTCTGGTTCTGGTTGGTGTTGTGATGCCAAACCTTCAGGGATTATAAACTACCAGCAGGATTTAAACGAATCCTGGATGAGTTTTAGACCTGAGCCTTTAGAAATGTTCTGCAGCTGGTACACAGCTCACTTTGGAACCGGCTTTATGTGGCTCTGGAGGCTCGGGTCAGAGGTCAGAGGTCAGCATGATCTCTGGTTCACAGCTGGAACAACTGAAGCTGACTCTAGATGTATAAATCTAGATCTATAGGTCCAGATTGTTCCTCTTTACCGCCGGTTAACTTTTATTTTGACGGGTTCAGGTCGTCCTGAAGGTTCTCCAGGCTTTCCAGGTCCGGTTCTGATGGGTTCTGTAAACGTGTTCAAACTGTATGAAAACATCAGGATTCTCCTCATCCTGCATAGCTTACGGTTTCCTCCTGCTTTCCGTAGATCTGTGACCTGAACAAGCGAATGTCGGCCATTGAGACGCTGCTGAGCTGCTTGGAGGAAAAAGTGACGTCAGCTAACAGGAAGGTAAACTCTCGTGCCTGGTACCGGCTTTAAACAATCAGTACGCAGCTATGGATGCCAGGCCTCATGTCAGCACATTGCTGGTTCCTGTTTGGTTGTGAAATGTTAGAGGAGACAGGAATGACATTTTCTCTGAACTAATAATGTTTTAACGGTGAAAGCCGTGGCTGCGCTGCCCCCTGGTGGCCGTTCACAGGAGCAGCAGACCGGATCTCATCAAGACTCAAACCGTCTGGTTTCACTTCAAACAGAACATTTCCAGGTTCTGCTCTGGTTCTCTGCTGCGGTTCTGATCCGATTAACATCCAGAACACATCTGGATCTAAAACCATGCAGATTAGTGGAAATCATGAAAGATTAACTTCAGGTGTTCTTTCAGTAAAAACTTTATGTTTTATTAAATACTGACTTCAGAGGTTCAGCTGCTTTCACTTATTATTTACTTTAAGTATTATTTCAATTTTTACATTATTTTTGACATTATTTTATGTTTTATTTATTTAATTTACTTTTATTTTCCATTATTGATTAATATTTTATTACAATGATGTGTTTAATTTATTTTAATCTAATAAATTTTTTACTCTGTGATTCCAGGTTTTTAAATGTCATTATTTAAATATTATTTATTAGTTTTATGTTATTTTATTGCTGTTTGTGCAGAACGTCACTGACTTTAGCTGAATGTCACTCAAACACATTTTCTAGATTATTTTGATGTGTTTTTTATTGATATAAAATCAGTTAAACCCAGAGTCTGGGTTCTGGTTCTGCAGGACGTCCGAACCGCCCAGAGTCCGTCTCCTCCTCGTCTTCCTCAGTGGGATGAAGAGGAACTGGAGGAGCGGCAGCTCCGGCTGAAGCTGCACCAGCTGACCCAGAGCCTGAGCTCTGAGGAGGACGAGGCGGGCGGGCCGAGCCGGATCCCCACCGGAACCAGAACCAGGGCCAGGCTGGAGGAGGACCTGAAGGTTCGATGGGCTCCAGACGGAGAACGTTCGGCGTCATGACGTTTTCCTCTCATTTCTCTGACAGCAAAGCAGAAATAAAATCATCCAAATGAGAAAATGAAGCAGCAGTGAAACGCTCTGCAGCTCCACCAGTAAAACCAGTTCAGCCCAGAATCCACCAGCAACTATCACTGCTTTAGTTTTTAGGGAAACATCCAGATTAAGACACTTAAAAAATGCAAATAAATTTATGAATTTTCAGTTGAGTGCAAATTCAGAAAAGCTTTTTGATCCAAAAGGAAAATAAAATAACTTCATAAATGCAAAGTTATTCATGTTTCACCTGTTTAACTGTTCTGCTGTTTCTCCTGCAGGCCGACCGCCTCTCAACTGAGCCCCGACACCCAGCAGCGCCCCCTGCTGGAGCCGCCCAGAACCGCCTCCGCCTGCAGAGGCTCCGCCTCCTTGATCAGCTGGGGACAGAGGGCTCAGGCAGCCACGCCGACGTGCAGAGCGCCCAGAGCCAGGTCCGAACGGGTCAGAACCGGGTCTGAAAGGGTCAGAACCAGGTCACGGCGCCACTCAAACCCGAATCCACTAATGAAGCCGTTTCTCCTCAGGTTTCCTACATCGAGGACCGGATCGCTGCACTGGAGCGGAGGTCCAACAGACCGCAGGAGGCTGTCAAGGTCACTGGAGGTCATTAAAGGTCACTGGAGGTCATCAAAGGTCACTGGAGGTCATTAAAGGTCACTGGAGGTCATTAAAGGTCACTGAAGGTCATTAAAGGTCACAAAGTTTTTGCAGCTGATTAATATATCATCACCTGTTTATAAATATCAGAGCTTCCGGCCAGACTAAGAAAATGTGTTTTATGTTGTGATATTAGCAGAAGAAAATATTCAAACTAAGAGAAAAAATGATTTTAACAAACCTTTGATAGGTTTATGAGGATCTGCTGTGAGCGGCTCAGTCTGACATTATTTATTCTAAATAAACCTTTTAATTTCCTGCTGCTGATCATTTGATGCTGATGAGTGAAAACTATCAAATGTTATTTATAACTTAATGATCAGCGTTGCTCATTTTGACCCAGATTGTTTCATGCAGTTCTCATGTTCTAAATATTACAACCTTATTACATTTATTATGCTGTTATTGTAATATTCTGGTGTTTTCTCTTATTATTACATCTTAATTTGCATTTTATTATGACTTCTTTCTTCATTCTCAAATTGTTATTACAATATTTTCTGCCAATATTACATCGTTGCTTTCCTTTTATGGATATTCTCACATTTTTATGACTTTATTCTCATAATTATTATTATTTAGGTTTTATTTTTGTATTATGACTTTTCTTCATATAATTTGGAGTTTTGGAGAAAACTTTTCTTTCCAGCTGTGGCTCTGAACCTCGGATCGTTTGTCTCCTCGTTCAGCCAACAGCTCCTGGTGAACTCTGACCTTTGGTCTGACCTTTGGTCTGACCTCTGCTCTCTGTTTGCAGTCGGCGATCCCGGTCCGGACTCGGAGACTCTCCCACAACGTTCCCAGCAGTAAGCGCCGTGTTGAAGCTCTGCCAACAGGGCGACACGCTTTGAGTTTCCTGTTCTGGAGATCAGCAGAACCTCCAGCCAGAGCAACATAATAAACATAATAAACATGAATAAACATGAATAAACATGAATAAACATTAATTCAGCTTTATTAGGAAATTAATCATCATATTTTCACTGATAGAAATGAAAACAGCCTTTATTGGCAAACCTTCTGTCCCATGAAGGTCTCTTAATAAAACCTAAAGCACTTTTGCCAAACTAAAATAAACTAACAAATAAATATCTAGATGTTTATTTTCATGCTCTTATTTTGAAGTGGGTGAAGACGGCAACAGTTCCGTTTCCTTTTCTAATGTTCAGTATTTTCCTTGTAACACATGGTGTGATAATTAGCTAATGCTAATTTATCGCATTAGCATTAGCTTCAATTTAATATAATGCTGCTTTAGCAAGTTAGCGTTAGCCTCTGCTACATAATGTTTTGATGTAGCGCCACAGAACAGAAGTCCTCCAGACCACTAGGGGGAGTCTGGAATCTATAATACTCCCTTCTTTAATATGTTTTATTATATTCATGTCTTTACTGAGGAGATGGTGTTGTAGCATTAGGTGGTCGACTCCCCCTAGTGGTCTGGAGGAGTTTCCATTTTAATTATTTCAAATACAGAAAAGTTAACAAAATAATTCATGTTCTAAATAATTATGTATTTTGGGGCTTTTCTTGTGTACAATATAATCAGAAAATCCTGATTATATTGTAATAATCAAACATGCTATTTGATATTGTGTTATTTATTGCAATACATGAGAAATTTAAGCTGAAGCAGGAAGTGATGTCATCAGCTCAGTAACAGTAACGTCTCTGCGTTACAGAGTCTGGAGGTGACGGTGCGCTGATGAAGAGGAGGCTGAGCATCATGTGACCTTCATCGCTTTGCTTGGAGACGGAGGCAGCAGGGGGCCTCTCGTTACCGTGGCAACGGGATGCCGCTCCAGCCCATTACCGTGGCAACGGGATGCCGCTCCAGCCCATTACCGTGGCAACGTCTTTATTTTTTTATGTCTCTTTATTTTGTTTGAAGGTTTTAATCATAACCAAGCGTGAATTAATTGGTAACCGTAGCAACGTGATGGAGCTGCTGGAGGATTTCAGTTTTATTATTTCTGAAGTTTGTCTTATTTCTGTCAGTAGAACCAGAACCAGAACCTCCAGCCGGTTGGCATCACGCTGCGTCTGCAGGTCCGACTAAATGCCACTCACAAGATGGCGGCTGCATCACAGCTCTGCTTCAGTCTGGCCTTCATTTTAGATCAGTGCATTCTTACTTTATGCTGATGTGAACTTTTTGTAATCTGTTTCACTTCTATATTTTTGTCTGTGTTGGTTTTTAACTGTTCGGCGACCAGGAGAATCCTGAGAGATACTGTAAAATAAAATGCTTTATTCTGATCGTTGTTGTTATTATCAGCAGTTATTAGCTGCTTCAGGACGAGCAGCTGAAGGAACACGACTAGAAACTGAAAATCCAGAAAGAATCCAGAACCAACCTCTGCTTTGGTGTCAGAACTGGGTCCAGTTTTCATTTCCATCTTTTGAAATTGTTTGTTCTCCATCAGATTCATGTGGACTCACATCGACAGAAACTCAAACTGTCTGAAAACCAAACCCGGGAGCTTCTGCCAGGTCCTGATCATCCAGACTGGTGGCTTTAACTGGGCTGACTGGTGGTAACTGGGCTAACTGGTGTCTGACTGGTGGCTGTAACTGGGCTGACTGGTGGCTTTAACTGGGCTGACTGGTGGCTGTAACTGGGCTGACTGGTGGCTGTAACTGGGCTGACTGGTGGCTGACTGGTGGCTGTAACTGGGCTGACTGGTGGCTTTAACTGGGCTGACTGGTGGCTGTAACTGGGCTGACTGGTGGCTTTAACTGGGCTGACTGGTGGCTGTAACTGGGCTGACTGGTGGCTGACTGGTGGCTGTAACTGGGCTGACTGGTGGCTGACTGGTGGCTTTAACTGGGCTGACTGGTGGCTGTAACTGGCTGACTGTGGCTGACTGGTGGCTGTAACTGGGCTGACTGGTGGCTGACTGGTGGCTTTAACTGGGCTGACTGGTGGCTGTAACTGGGCTGACTGGTGGCTGTAACTGGCTGACTGGTGGCTGTAACTGGGCTGACTGGTGGCTGTAACTGGGCTGACTGGTGGCTGACTGGTGGCTGTAACTGGGCTGACTGGTGGCTGACTGTGGCTTTAACTGGGCTGACTGGTGGCTGTAACTGGGCTGACTGGTGGCTGTAACTGGGCTGACTGGTGGCTGTAACTGGGCTGACTGGTGGCTGTAACTGGGCTGACTGGTGGCTGTAACTGGGCTGACTGGTGGCTGTAAACTGGGCTGACTGGTGGCTTAACTGGGCTGACTGGTGGCTGACTGGTGGCTGTAACTGGGCTGACTGGTGGCTGTAACTGGGCTGACTGGTGGCTGACTGGTGGCTGTAACTGGGCTGACTGGTGGCTTTAACTGGGCTGACTGGTGGCTGTAACTGGGCTGACTGGTGGCTTTAACTGGGCTGACTGGTGGCTGACTGGTGGCTGTAACTGGGCTGACTGGTGGCTGACTGGTGGCTGTAACTGGGCTGACTGGTGGCTGTAACTGGGCTGACTGGTGGCTGACTGGTGGCTGTAACTGGGCTGACTGGTGGCTGACTGGTGGCTTTAACTGGGCTGACTGGTGGCTGACTGGTGGCTTTAACTGGGCTGACTGGTGGCTGTAACTGGGCAACTGGTGGCTGTAACTGGGCTGACTGGTGGCTGTAACTGGGCTGACTGGTGGCTAACTGGGCTGACTGGTGGGCTGACTGGTGGCTGTAACTGGGCTGACTGGTGGCTTTAACTGGGCTGACTGGTGGCTGACTGGTGGCTGTAACTGGGCTGACTGGTGGCTGTAACTGGGCTGACTGGTGGCTGTAACTGGGCTGACTGGTGGCTGACTGGTGGCTTTAACTGGGCTGACTGGTGGCTGTAACTGGGCTGACTGGTGGCTTTAACTGGCTGACTGGTGGCTGTAACTGGTGTCTGACTGGTGGCTTTAACTGGGCTGACTGGTGGCTGTAACTGGGCTGACTGGTGGCTGTAACTGGGCTGACTGGTGGCTGACTGGTGGCTTTAACTGGGCTGACTGGTGGCTGACTGGTGGCTGTAACTGGGCTGACTGGTGGCTGACTGGTGGCTTTAACTGGGCTGACTGGTGGCTTTAACTGGGCTGACTGGTGGCTGTAACTGGGCTGACTGGTGGCTGTAACTGGGCTGACTGGTGGCTGACTGGTGGCTGTAACTGGGCTGACTGGTGGCTTTAACTGGGCTGACTGGTGGCTGTAACTGGGCTGACTGGTGGCTTTAACTGGGCTGACTGGTGGCTGACTGGTGGCTGTAACGGGCTGACTGGTGGCTGTAACTGGGCTGACTGGTGGCTGACTGGTGGCTGTAACTGGGCTGACTGGTGGCTTTAACTGGGCTGACTGGTGGCTGTAACTGGGCTGACTGGTGGCTTAACTGGGCTGACTGGTGGCTGTAACTGGGCTGACTGGTGGCTGACTGGTGGCTGTAACTGGGCTGACTGGTGGCTGACTGGTGGCTTTAACTGGGCTGACTGGTGGCTGTAACTGGGCTGACTGGTGGCTGACTGGTGGCTGTAACTGGGCTGACTGGTGGCTGACTGGTGGCTTTAACTGGGCTGACTGGTGGCTGACTGGTGGCTTTAACTGGGCTGACTGGTGGCTGTAACTGGGCTAACTGGTGGCTGTAACTGGGCTGACTGGTGGCTGTAACTGGGCTGACTGGGCTGTAACTGGGCTGACTGGTGGCTGACTGGTGGCTGTAACTGGGCTGACTGGGTGGCTTTAACTGGGCTGACTGGTGGCTGACTGGTGGCTGTAACTGGCTGACTGGTGGCTGTAACTGGGCTGACTGGTGGCTGTAACTGGGCTGACTGGTGGCTGACTGGTGGCTTTAACTGGGCTGACTGGTGGCTGTAACTGGGCTGACTGGTGGCTGTAACTGGGCTGACTGGTGGCTGACTGGTGGCTTTAACTGGGCTGACTGGTGGCTGTAACTGGGCTGACTGGTGGCTGTAACTGGCTGACTGGTGGCTGACTGGTGGCTTTAACTGGGCTGACTGGTGGCTGAATGGGGGCTGTAACTGGGCTGACTGGTGGCTGACTGGTGGCTTAACTGGGCTGACTGGTGGCTGTAACTGGGCTGACTGGTGGCTGTAACTGGGCTGACTGGTGGCTGTAACTGGGCTGACTGGTGGCTTTAACTGGGCTGACTGGTGGCTGTAACTGGGCTGACTGGTGGCTTTAACTGGGAGGTCGAGTGGAGAGGAAGAGTTTATGTCAGTGAGTTACAGAAGAATCAAGAGGAAAGTGGAGCCTGTCGGTTTGGATTTGATGATCAGTCCTGAGATGCTCTGATGATGAAGCTACAATAACAGAGAAACTTTTATCTGCTCCTCCTCTTCCTCCTCCGTCCCAGCAGGGCAGCATGTGGACTGTCCTGCTGTCCTTCTGTCCTGCTGTCCTTCTGCAGCGTCTCACACCTTCATTCACTGACTGCCGGTTCCTGGGTTTGGGTTCTGGTCCGGTTCTGGTTCCTCAGTGTTCAGTCTCTACATGTTTGTCTCTTTCATGCAAAACATTTTGATTTTCTGTTTGTTTCATTTTTAAAACTCTTTCAAAATATTTCTATTGAAATATTTTTGAATAATGTTTGCAGATATTTTGCTAACCTCCCAAAAAGACCTGATTTTGTTGCATAAACAAGCTGAAAGTATCTCTTTCTTATTTGTGCATTTTATATATAAATCTAGGAAATTATGGATAAATGTATTAATTTTTACAGATGTGATGTATATTCTCATAATGAATTTATTCGTCAATAATCTTCATTTTATGCTAATGTATTGAATCTGAGCTTTGGATCAAATTAATTTCCTCTCTCCATGTTGTCCAAATTATTTCAAAGTTTTCTAATGAATTATAATAGATAATAAAGTTCTGATATTTATCCATAACTTATTTTAACTGTTAACTTTTCCACTTGTGTTTCTGGGATTTTGTTTTTATTAAATCACATTCGGATTCATGACCAAACCCCCAGTTCACTGATAAAAACTTATAAAAATATTTGTGATCCAACTTAAGTTCTGAAAGTTACATCAGACTATTGGATTTGGTCTAGTTCAAGTCTTGAATCTTTTCTAGTCTTTTTTACCTCCAGTTGTTTTTTGGTTCAAATAATAGTTTTCTTATGTAGAGTTTACTGGGATAAAATATGAACTCTTTAATGTTCTGCTTCACCTCAAACATAATTTAATCATATTCCTCGTTATATGATTATTTGTCAAAATTGAAATACAGAAGGAAAAATAAATGTAAGCCTTCAGTTTCCATTTCCGACCAGTGATATGAACAAACTGTTATTTAGCATAAAATGAAGAACTTTTAAGATAATGAACAGATTTCTTTTTAATATCTGTTCAGAAATAAATATTTTATTTCACAAGATGGATTTATGTTAATATTTATTTTTGAAGACATCAAATTATTCAGAAATCTCAAGACCCCCTTCAGTACCCGTGCGACCCCTGTGGGGGCAGCGCACCCCTTGTTGTGGACCTGTTGATGATTCAGCAGCTTTTAGTCACAAGAAGAAGCGAAGCGCCATTTTGGACCACAAACATTTTAATTACAAACCAATGAATGAATCATCAGAATATTGATATTCAATTTGTATCCAGTTTTTCTCCTTTGATAAATTTTCCTGTCAAACATTAAACCTCATAAACATCACAAACCTCACAAACATAACAAACCTCATAAACATAACAAATCTCATAAACATCAAAAACCTCATAAACATCATAAACCTCATAAACATCACAAACCTCACAAACATAACAAACCTCATAAACATAACAAACCTCATAAACATCATAAACATCACAAACCTCATAAACATAATAAACCTCATAAACATAATAAACCTCATAAACATAATAAACATCATAAACCTCATAAACATCAAAAACCTCATAAACATCACAAACCTCATAAACATCAAAAACCTCATAAACATCATAAACCTCATAAACATCACAAACCTCATAAACATAACAAATCTCATAAACATCACAAACCTCATAAACATCACAAACCTCATAAACATCATAAACCTCATAAACATAATAACATCAAAAACCTAATAAACATCATAAACCTCATAAACATCAAAACATCATAAACATCACAAACCTCATAAACATTACAAACCTAATAAACATCACAACCTCATAAACATTATAAACCTCATAAACATCATAAACCTCATAAACATCATAAACATCACAAACCTCATAAACATCACAAACCTCATAAACATCATAAACCTCAAAC